ATTGATGATAGATCCATCCTCACTTCTGAGTAACAGAGCTGAATTAACTGATTTCAGCATCATCTTTTATATACTAGAATGTGCTTTCCCCTGTGTTACATCATGTGTAGATGCTGAGAAAGTAGAAGTCCTGAATGATATCGACCTATATAAAAGGCATAGCCTTCCCGATATGGTATTGTATTTAAACACACACATTAGTAGAGAATAAGACTGAGGATAGTAGTTGAAAATATGGGATCTGATTGTTTTTCATTTAATATGTTTTCTAAAGAAAACACCACATCATATATACAATATGTATATATGTATGTATATGTGTGTATATGTATATGTGTGTGTATATCTGTGTGTGTATATATGTACATACATATATGTGTGTGTGTGTGTATGTGTGTGTGTGTATATATATATATATGGATTCAGTTTTTATTTTCCATTGACAGCTTCCGAATATTGGACATCTATTTCCAAGCACTGCAATTATTAAAGCATCTATGATTGTGAATTCCCTGCATCCCATAAACTAATTATATATGCAAGGTCACAATAAATATACATTTTCAGAAAAGGATATGGTTATATAACTGTGTCTTCTGCTTGACTGTTGTATCACAGTTTGTTGATCTGGAGTATAATGTGTACAATTCACAAATTTGTCTGATAACAGAAAGTGGTGTGTGATTGTGTTTATTTTACTAACCAGTATATTCACAGCAATCACTTCCAAATATCTCTGCAGTAAAGATGTGTTAATTACAAAACAGACAAGGTCTTCTATTATATTAAAGCTACTAACAAGAAGACAGCAGGAATCACACATGTAAATAGCATCATCAACCCCTATTTTAGTCCTCTGTTTTGATCTGTGAGTTGCGCATAGACCAAAGGTGCTATTAAAGACTCACTGTATGAAATCAGCAGCATTATATGAACAAAATTTATTCAACAAGAAAACAGACCTTTAACATGAATTTAACAAGCCGGAGAAATTATAAACTATCATATGCTGCAGATTCATGCAGTGATAATAAACAAAAAAAGAAAAGTAAGAGGTTTCCTTAAGCTAGCCAAACCGCTAATGGTTTTGTTATAAGCTGTCTGGTGCTGAAGTGACCTCTCCAGAGTCTCAAGGCGCTTGCACTAGGCAGAATTAAACCGTCCAGTTGGTGAAAAGCATGGTATAGTGTGGTATAGTGTGTCATTTAAAAAGCCACCTTAATCGGTATACTTTAAAAAATCCACACACAACCACCCTGTTGTGTTACACCTCTTCGCTGGGAGAGGAAAGGCAGCAAGAAGCCTTTGGGCTGTTTTTTACTTCATTTGCAAATCAACATAATCAGAGCAAGTGGAGAGGTCTAAAAGCACTCAACTATTTGTGGAAATGGGTATAACATTTTTTTCTCTTGAGTTGATTCTTTTGAGAGCAGTCCTCCGCAAAGTTTCTCCCACTAAATCAAAGGTTTTCTGCATTTCTTTCTCTGCATCACACAGGGCTTCAAAGTATCCAAATCTGAGAAGGACTTAAACTCGTACATATAACCAAGAGCTCACCAGAGCTTTCTCCTCGAATCTTATCATAGCATAATTAACACCTCCTTCATCCATTGCTCATTAGTACACTGGACATTAATGAGCCTATTTATTTTGATACGCTTCTCTAAAGAAGGAACTCATTTGTTCTTGCTGAGCACAAAAAAAGCAATTATAAGATTGCACAGAAATCAAAATGTAGAGTGTGTTGCTGCATTTATGCTTTTTATTGCATCCCAGATCTAATTTTAGGCTGCAGGTTGTTGAGCATGTTAGTTTTTCTTAAGACAGTTGCTATAGTGATCACAGTGAATTCCTTTAATCTTGGTGTAGTTAAAATATTCTTTTCCTTATTTGATGTAACAATGCTAAGAAGAAGCAAAATGTCATTGGAGTCATATTTTTGTCCATTGGTTTATGTAAAAAGTTAGGATTTCTTAAATTATAACAGAGTGCAGTTATGGGTTTCATAAGTCTTGGGAACCTGTTGCAGTCCAGAAGCATCAAAGCCAGGATAGTTTTCTCCTCCAGAGATCTATCTGAGTAGTGGTTGAAAACACAGTGAAATAAGCAAGTCCACTAGTACTGATGTTCAAAGGGGTGAAACTTATTCCTTTATTCCAGACAAGTCCAAATAGGCCAGTTATTTGAAACTTGGATACAGCAATACTGTGTGTATTTGTGAATTTTCAACAGCAACCCACTAGATGACTGAAGGCGTTGTATCATAAATATCACCAAAACATGACCTTGTAAAAAATGGGCCATGGCAGTCATAGAAAAGTTGCAAACCCTGACGCTTGGCCATGGTTGATTTAGGCTGTTTTCGCATGATAGGAAGCTACCGTGAAAAGCGCATACAGCGCTTAACTTTGAGTAGAAGCAATTTTGTAATAAAACGCAGTTTCAGTCTTGGATGGGTTCCATCTTTCCTAATGGAGCCGTCCGCTAGAATCCTTTCTACGAGTGTTAAGTGTTAGTGTTCTAAATCATGAAGCACCTTGTGAATCTGATAGACCGCGAGGCAATTGTCTTTCTCTCTCAAAGTCAGTTCTTTATTTGTGGCATTTCCTATCGAGCAAACCTCTAGAGGACCACAGTGTTGAATGTTTTGCTTTGTTTTTGCTAACTTTTTATTTATGCCCCCCTCCTTGCTGTTGTTGGGCATTTGCAGGTGTTCATAAACGAGAACATCTGGTCCAAATACTGCTTCAAGAGTTTCAGAAGGAAATAGGAACCAGTGTTATATAGAAATACTAGATTTAAATTGATAAAAGTAAACACTGGGATACTATGCTTCCTTGGCTACTCTTTTCACATTGTTGCCCATGATGTACCAAGAAAAATCCAACAGCATACTATACTGTGGTTATGCTTAAGTGGGGAAGAGAAAATTGAGAGGCAACAGAAGAGTCATGCTTAAGTAGTTAAGGGGACATCATATGGAAGATGGAGTGAGCTTGTTTGGTGCTCCAAAGAATGGGTTTTGAACCAATGCAATTACAAAAAAAGGGATTCTGACTAAGCATTAGGAACTTCTTGGTGACTGTGGGACAGACTACCATGGAAGGTGAAAGATTCTCTTTTGTTGGAGACTTTAAAGAGTGGTTAGATGGTCCACTTCTGTCAGGGATGCCTTAGCTGAACTAGCAGAAAGGTTGACCAGGAGCCCAAAGGCTATCTAGTTCAGTAGTTACCAAACTTTGGTCCTCCATATATTTGAACTTGAGCTCTCAGAATTCCTTCTTGTTGGTCAGGTTGGCTAGGACTTATGGGAGCTTACATCCAAAATACCTTGAGGACCAAAGTTTGGGAGCCATTGGACTAGATAGCCCTTGGGGTCTTGTTTTATGATTTTGGAGAATTATTTGCAGAGCAGTTCACCCAGATGTGAAAATGAATTCAGGGGTAAAAAATGAAATCCCAGTTTTTTATAGCAAGGAGATGCATGGCTGGTATGTGTGCAATTCCGGCTGAGAATGATATGGGCATAAATAGCATCTCTCCCGATGCATCTGATCTGTTGAATCAGAACATGTATATGGTGACTATCATGCCTTGAGAAAATCCATATGTTATTTGTAGTTGCGTTCAGTTTACTTATGATTGTGTCCTGAATAGAAAGAATAATTTGGTTAGCGTACTCTGCTATCATGTGAAGAATATTTGAGCCTATAAAGCAATTGAATATCATTGAAGAATAGAGACAAAATTATTCTGTATTTGAGAATTGAGGTCAAGCATTCTTTTTGCTTTGCTGGCCTCTGGATTTCTTCTGAGTCTCACATAGTTTAATCCTTGAAAGCCTAGTTGGAGTTTCTAACTCTGTCTCATTGATCTTCTTTACTTTTTCATTGTGCTTCATTTGCCTCTTGGGAGTTTGGTTTTCCTTTTCAGAGTGTACAAAATACTTTACTTGTTTTTATAAACTTACCAACCTGATGGTCACTGTTGTCAATATTTTACCATAGCTTGTATGGGGAACTGAGAGATAGTGGCTTACCTGAGAACTTGTAGTACAGAAATATGGAGTACCCATTCTCTCTTTAAAAGAAAAGGAAAAGGGAAAGAGATATAAGAAAACTAAACTAAAGAGATATGTTATAATAAAACTCATCTGAAAGATTTAAAGACTAACCTAAGAAATGTGTATAGCAGTATAATCTTTACCACTGATGTACATTTTGCAATATATGTTTTCTAACCATAATCCCTTAGATAAAATAGACACAAAGATTTTATGTCCACAGATTGACTTCTTTAGGTATTAACAAGAATGGGTGACAAACTTCTGTAAGTTTTGGACTGTATTGTCACTGCAGTAAGTGACCTTGATTTTCTGTTGTTGCTCCGTTTCCTTTTTGCTCCATTCTGCTCATAGCCATGGCACTGACAAGGTCGTCATAATCCATCCGACAGTTTATAGCCTCTTCCCTACTTGCGGGGAGTAAAAAGCATCTGACTAGAAGGGAATACATGGGGCAAGTTCCTTGCTGACTATAATTTTGTTGTCATTTCATGTATTCCAGTGGTATAATTGATGTGACAGGACTGGGCTTTAAACATAGTCCCTTAGCTTGTGCTCACTTTCAGTTTTAGCCTCCCTGTCATTCAATTTGACTAGGTAAGATATAGGTGACAAACATATTTTTAAAGTTACATAGCATGTGTGTATATATGTAAACTTAGCCATGAGGAGTGAAGAAAAGAGTGTATAAAACTTAATTTATTTTTGCTCACTTCTTTGAAAATGTAGTAACTGGTGTTGCCATACAATATGAATTTCAGTTGTTGTGCTGATGACAGAGACAGCAGGCGGTTTTTCTTTATTAATATTATAATTAAATAATTTCCTGGAAAAAGGCCAAAACCAGATGTGAGTTGATCGTGACTTCTCCACTGTTACTTGGTGTAATCACTTGCATTTTCTACGAAGAATTGACTTTGGCATCTTGTTTTTACAGGTTGTTATCGATGCCTTCAGATTGATCAATGCTAATATGATGGTCTTGGGACATGAACCAAGACAAACAACTTCAAATCTGGGTCACTTAAACAAGCCATCTATTCAGGTAAATTCAGTGCTTGGTAGTGTGTTCATTTTGAGATATGTTGCTTTTTTGCATCCATTCTCTTGTGTGCAGACACACTTTCTTTTCTTTTTTTTTCTTTTTTTTTCTTTTTGCTATATGATAATAGTGTCCCCTATTGAAATGAAGGGATTCTGACTCAAGAATGCCATAGACTCATGCYGTAAGACCTAGAATTGCCCAGAGAGGACACAGTTTGTGGGGCTTGGATAAATGAAATCACATACACCGGCCCATTGATATTGGGGGGGGGGGGTCATAAAATAGTAGTAAAAAAAAAACAATGGAACATTTAAAAACCTGATAAAATATTGAATCTTCCTGAGGAAATCAAGTAAATGCTTCCAGAATTGTTAGAGGTTTCATGTGATATGCAGATGTTGATAATGAACATATTTATCTTTTATCATTGTTGTGCCTCTGTTGCAATATGTCATTATTATCACATGCCGATCTTCTTCCCATAAATGATTTCAGATCATGTTGATTGACAGAAAGTCATATACACCAGTGTATTTGGCTTTAAAAAAATTTCTGGGCTTTCTCACTTTTGGTGTCAGTTTTTGTTATGGTTACGATATCATAGAGGTAATTCCTGCACATGTCTATGGAAAGTAGACATTAAATTAAGTACACCCTCTTCTTAATTTTTTGCATTTGCTTTCTTAGTTCCCCTATCTTTAGCACTGCAACCTTAACATGAGAAACTGGGTAGCCTCTAATATTTCCTTGTCTCCTGAGGATTTTCAATATATTAGGTTGCAGGTTGTGTTCCAACGCATGTTCGTTTGATTATGGATAGGAAGTAAACTGTGACTGGAATTGAAGGGAAAACCCATGATGCCTCATAATCTTCTGTCGTTTACAATTCTCAGACCAATTGAACCCATAAATTAAACCCAAATGTACATGTTACTTATTGTATTGGCAGTACATACTTTAATGGCACCTTGCCTAGTCCTTAGACACATTCACAAAAAGGGAAGGAAAGTGTAGAATATGATTTCTGTTCCTTCCAAAATAAATACTTTGCCAGAGCTTTCAGGAATGGATTAGAGCCATAAGGCTGGAGTCCCAGTTATGACTTGAAATTTGACAGGATTTCGGAAGGAAGAACTGTCCATCTTGTTAAACGTTGAAACTATTCTTCTTGTTCCAAAGTAAAGATTATATAAAATCACAGGCACTGTAATATCATAGAGCAGTGGCTCCCAACCTGTGGTCCATGGGCTGCAAGAATGAAAATATGGTCTGTGACTTCACCGTTACTACATTATTGCCTCGAAACCACCTGGCAATGAGAGCGACTGGTCTCACAAAACCCTGTTATAGTGTCGAGGCAACGGGGATGTCAGGAGGGGAGAGGCTGACTACTCAAGAAATATTACAACTATTACATCAGCTCTAGATTATTAAATATGGTTTTCTGTGAGCGAGCAGATGGTGACTACTGGGTGGCATATATTCTGTATAAAAAGCTAGAGCTGATGTGGTCTAGCCAGTGCAGAATCAGCACCCCAAACAACCAAACCAAATCTAAAGTTGACCAAAAACTGATTCATGGTCCTTTTGGTACTAATGTTGGAGAGTTGTCACTTGTCAGAGTGGTCTCTGGTCAAAAAAATGTTGGGAACCACTGTCATAGAGGAATTATGAGCTAGCCCTGTACAGTACTCCTTTTCATTAGCCCTTCTATAGATGGATGTCTGATTTCATCCTGTCTGCAGTCTGTACTCAACCGGTTTCTGTTTATCCAAGATTTGAACCCAGGTTTGAATTGCTTAACAATTCCCAACAAAAAATAAGTCAGGTTAATCTTAACTGTAGTTAGTATTGGTACTGACCTATTTGTTCACCGTAGTGAAGTCAGAAGTGGGAGAACAATCCTGTAATAGCAGTGGAATTACCCATACATTGGAGATGGCTGTCTCCGGTCAGGATTCAATTGTTTTTAGTCCTTTTACATACATAAGCAGCACCTGTATCACTTTAATGTATGGAAAAGGAAAGGGGAATACAAATCAACCAACTGCTTTTCTCCACCTGTTAAGATCTGATACCAAACCTCATTCAGTGTCTGGTTCTGTAGGTGAAAAGCTTGCAGACAAAGCTGCTGTGTTGACATCTTCACTCGAATCTAACATCACTTTTTATATTCCAGTTCTCCATTATTAGATTTAGGGGTAAACAGCATCTTGCTTCTTAAATGAGCATTCCCTTATGGATGATTAATGTTTTGCCATGCACTAATGATAATACTGCCCAAAATATTATTTTCTTTTTTAAAAGTTTAGAAGGCCCAGATAGTTACCCCCAAGAAGCCAAATGATTTCTCTGAAGATTAATTACAGGGGTGCTAATAGCAATGTATGCTGAAAACATGGCATTTCTATTTGAAAACAGCGTCATATCTCTTGAGCTATAACCACAATCTCCACCTGGAAATTTCCTATAGGCATAGCTTAAACTCTCAGTCTTAAAAATATGTGATGCTACCCTAGCTGATTGTTCACAGATTTCATTAACAACAGCTTTAAAAAGTATCTTGCAGCAAAAGAATTTTGATTTAATAGGGTTGAAGCAGATTACTCTTGAATTAGTACAAGCTGCAAAAAATAATGAGTTTGGAACAACCTACTAATGTTTTGGATTGGGTGCAGGCAAGCCTGTGCTTGTATGTTTCTAGAGGATATATTAGTGGATCGTATAATGACTTCCCATGGAAACCCCGTAGTGTCAGTCTGCTTCATTATTGTCTTTTCCCCAAAAAAGTTAAGCAGCACTTTTCTCTCAGACTAGACATTAACAGCAAAGTACAAGCAAAGCCAGCTTCCAAGCTGATGTGTATTCCAAACACATTTCCTTAACATTACCATGAATTAAAGTACTGTATGTGATTCCCTAGAAACAAATATTTTGGCCCATTGGCAGCAAAGTGCCAGAGCCTACAGCTGAGTGCATTGAGTGTCGAATAAGAGGTGCTCGGCACTAAGCCCTGCCAGGGCCTACATCCAAGCGCCCAAAATCAGCTCACCAAATAGTTATCATTCCCACCTACCTTTCATTTCACCAATTTTTCCGAACAGGAGGGGGGTGTACAATTTTGTGCCATCTGAATGAACGGTACAAAACGGAAACATGAAAGAAAACAATGTGACAAATACAGGGCCCATGACTAGCACATAGCAAATAAATACTCTACCATCCAAAACCTAACAACCCCCAGAGGAGAGCACATGTGTATTGACATGCATGGTGTTTCATTGTTTCCTAGCTAAAAGCAGTTGTACACACATACTTAATTTTAATTTATTCTTAAGATTTCTCAGAGTCAGTCATATCTAGGTGCCTCTCGTAAACATGATTGCATTATGTTTGGTTGGTGAAAACTTTTTATGGGGGGGGGGGGGTTGCATGCTTGTACCAAAATTGAAATTCTCTGCTGTTTTAAAGCAAAATTACTTTTTACAAAAATGAATGCTATACTACACAATTTTACAAAATTTTACTTTTAGTGTATTGTACCTTTATCCCACTGTCTGCTGCTACTGTATTGATGTTGCACTCTCAAAAAGCACATTTGAAGTTGCAGCAGTACAAGCAAGATACGGAACCCAAGGACATTGGTGCAGTATTTCTTAAGCTTTAGATATAGAATACCATATGCTATAAAATATAGAATATGCAACAGAATATGCTATCTTTATTAACAGATTTCTAAAGCAACTTTCAAAATTTACATTTCCTTACAAGACAATGTTCAAATCTCGCCGTCTTTAAAAAAAAAATTCAAAGTAACGCACACTCCAGACCCAGTATTTCTAGACTTCAATCTGTTTCTTCTATGTCCTTGACAGAACTGATCAGGTGGATTATTTTATTTATTCCTTTTATATGTTTTTTCCCTAGGCTTTAATTCATGGACTGAATAGACATTACTATTCTATTACTATCAACTACAGGAAGAATGAACTAGAACAGAAGGCAAGTTTTGTTTTTGTTTTTACTTAGGGCTTTCTCATTAACTCTCGGGTATTGGGTTTTTTTTATTCACAGCATAAAAAATAGATCAGACTGATTGTTGGCATGCTGAAATATTTTGATCTGAATTCTAATTTCTCACATTTTTCATTGTCATCCCCTCTCATATCATATATTCTGTGCATTACCACAGCAAATGAACCTTAATTTGAACTCGGGGGGGGGGGGGGGAATCCTACATTTTTTCCAGAAGGCATCTGCAAACATAAGTAACAAATGCTAAAAACAAGTTGGTGAAAACCAGTCTGTCTTATTTGAACAGTTTAGGAACATCTTTGTTTAAATTATGATAAAGACATGCCTATTCTATTTTTGAAGCCACATATTTCTGAAAGCAGTTCTGTTACAATAAACTTGATAATTTTCTTGCCTTTATTTTTAAAAGCCTGCAGTTCACGTCCTTATATAATTTTGTTTGTGTCAGAAGCAACTTGAGAAACTGCAAGTCGCTTCTGGTGGAAGAGAATTGACTGTCTGCAGGGATGTTGCCCAGGGGAAGCCCGGATGTTTTATCATCCTGCGGGAGGCTTCTCTCTTGTCCCAGTATGAACTGAGAGAAGGGAGCTCGCCCCATCTCGTGGATTCGAACCCCGACCTTTGAGTCAGCAGTTCAGCCGGCACAAGGGTTTAATCCATTGCGCCACCGGAGCTCCAATTTATATAGTTCAAACATGCATACAAAGTTACTGTTGTTAAAAAAATCATTGAAGGAACCCTTCAACTACAGCTAAGCATATAGACCCAAGGTAATGCTATATGGATAGATAGTATGCTTGAAGTGACTGGTGTGACTCTGAAGGAGCTGGGCTTGGTGACGGCCGACAGGGAGCTATGGCATGGGCTGGTCCATGAGGTCATGAAGAGTTGGAGGCGACTGAACAAATAAACAACAACAACAATACTATAGCAAATATTTAAGAGTTCACCTTCTTAAAACAGGTAGGGTTTGCAAATCACTGGATGAGTTATACAGGAAAACTGTTTTGTAACATCAGGGCCACCACTTGAAACCACAGTGTGCCAACAACTCTTAAGGGTGGAAGTCATAGACCGATGCAGCCCATCAAGTGTCATAGATTTCAGGACAAACCTTAATGCTGTCTAGGTGCAAACAGATTACGTATGCAATTGCCACAATATAAATTGGCCATATTGAAGCTTTCCAGTGACCATTAAGTAGCCAAAGAGTGACATTCTGCATCTGGAATACATTGTGGGAAGATATGGGAAAAGACAGTCTCTTCTTTCTGACAGGTGCCAGAGGATTTTTTTTCCTAAAGCCTTTGAGACCTATTGTATTCATCCAAATCCAAACATGTGCATGATTTTAATCATCCTTAAAATGTTTTAACTGGTTTCAGGCTGTATCTTTTAGTTTGTCAAAATGTTAATAAGTTTGTTTACATTATTTTTGTTGTTTTGGACTGTTCAAGCTGATTTCTGTCTTTGTTACCCTGAGATATAGGACAGGATATAAATATTATTAAAACATCAACAACAAAGAACCCCCAAGGACAACTGCATTGTAAATGACACTGCTGTAATTTGTCCTCAGATACAAACAATAGCATCTAGAGCAGTGGTTCCCAACCTGTGAGTCCCTAGGTTTGGCCTATAACTCCCAGAAACACCAGCCAATTTACCAGCTATTAGGATTTCTGGGAGTTGGAAGGCCAAAACACCTGGGGACCCACAGGTTGAGAACCACTGATGTAGAGCAACATTTTTTTGAGCCGCAGACCTTTTTCAGTATCAGCAGAGCAGCCTTTGAAGAAAGAATGTGAAAGAACATTCAAGCAAAATTTTGAATAAAATTAATTTTATTCTGGAATATAAATAAAGTTATTTATTTATTTATTGTAAATTATTTCCTTCACATAAACAGAATATAAAAACAATTTAATAATAAACAATGTGACACTTATTCTTGTTTTTTTCTAGTAAAAATGCAAAATACATAGATATAGACCTTTATTTTGATGGGTTTTTTTGTTTCTACAACCATGAGACCACATTAATTTTTCTTTTTAAAAAAGTACTTGATCAGATCTTTAGAGATTTATTTGACACAATGGACTTAAGTTCCACCATTAATTTATACAGCAAACCATTTTTGTCTCATCAGACAATTTCCAATGATTGGATCATTAGATTTTGGAGTAGTGAAACAGAAAAGTTATCTGTAGTAGCTCCATATAATTTGGAGTTAATGAACAGTTTATACCAGTGGTTCTGTGGCCTCACCATTACTATACTGTTGCAACAAGAGTGACTGGTCTCGCAAAACCCTCTTATAATGCGGAGGCAACTGAGATGTCGGGAGCGGAGAGGCTGACTACCCACAAAAGGTAGACTGCTGCTTCTCCTCCTCCCTCCCTTCCCCTGAGCAGAGCCATTCCATGTGGCGCCTGGAAGCGGGGGTGCCTTGGTGTCTTCATTTTTAGGCCTGTTCCTGGGGTTATTTGGGGTGCTGATTCAGTAAATTGAATTGGATAGACCACATCAGCTCTTGATTGTTAAATATGGTTTTCTGAGGGCAAGCAGATGGTGACTACTGGATGGCGTATGTTCTGTATCAGAAACTAGAGCTGATGCAGTCTATCCAATGCAGTTTTCTGAATCAACACCCCAAACAACCAAAACAAATCTAAAGTTGACCAAAAACTTATTCGTAAAAGTTTTGGTACTAATATTGGAGAGTGGTGCCTCATCAAAGTGGTCCCTAATTAAGTGGTCCCTGATCAAAAAAATGTTGGGAACCACCGATTTATACCAACTAATATTTTCCTGTCATCACAAATCTCAATAGATACAAAATATATCTGATTTCTCATCTGTCCTACTAATCTTGTACAATTCAACTCCTATTATATAAAGGAGTTATATGGGCCACAAGTCGTAACTATGTGCTTACAACTACATCAAACTTTTCCCCAATCACCAGTCTACATTTGGTTGGGTCAGCTCTTTTGATTTTATTTCTTTGCAGATGTTACTCAATTTACATAAGAAAAGTTGGATGGAAGGATTAACCCTTCAAGATTACAGCGAACACTGCAAGCTCAATGAAACTGTGGTGAAGGAAATGCTAGAATTAGCAAAGAATTATAACAAGGTACTACATGAACTATTTGCTGGAGCATTTTGTATAAGTGTTGCCCACACAATCAGAATGTGCCCAAAATTTATATTATCCTCTTCCAGTCTTGATTGAGATGTCCAGCCCGTATAATATAGTGGGATCGCTTTCCATCTTTTGGCACACAAAAGAGAATGGAAGGTTACCCAACATACTGATTAAAATGAAATATTTTGATATTCATTTGTTCAAGAAGGGGCTAGCCGTCCTAGTACTGAAAAAATAAATCAGCCATGTGAACATTTCCATAGCGGAGAATGCAGTGGAGAAGCATTGAGCCAGTAAAACAATAGAAAGGGGTTCCAAGTCTAGAACAGAGAAAGGGCTTCTTACTCATCTCCCAAGAAACCTTCCTTTCTTCCTCCCACAGTTTCTTCCTCTGTCAAAATATAAGCCTTTCAACGCCTATAGATTATGGCTCGCATCCAGTTGTAATTCCAAGTAATCATTTCACAGTTCTTCAAACCAAGAAATCAGAAAACAAAGAAAGATAGAATATTTCAAACAGAATTAGAAATGAAAAAATACAAATCTTTGTGATTAATGATACAAGGTAATACAGGAAAATTTCTGGCTTGAAAACTTTGAGGCATCTAGTGTCATTATTCAAACCTGAAATAGCTCAGATCAGAGAGGAACAGGAGGTAATAGTCCCAACTGAAGTAGTAGGCTCATTGAATGAATGGGTATTTGGTAACTCAGCAGCTAGGTAAGTAATTCCCTTGATACGTACAGCTTTGTGTAATTGCTGAATCACTGAAGTTAGCTTGCTTGTTAATTGTATATGTAGTCCTTGAAACAACGCTATAGTTTTTTCTCTCAGTTTTACAAAATTACACCTTCTTTAAAAGAAATACATAGGCTGCTGAATTAATAAGAACTCAGATGCTAAGATTTTCTGCATTTTTTTCACAGGCTGTTGAGGAAGAAGATAAGATGACACCTGAACAGCTGGCAATAAAAAATGTTGGCAAGCAGGTGAGGTGTAATGAATTATAGTGACGTGAAGTAACATGCTTTGTGTGTCTTGTTTAGTCACATGCTGGTGGTTTTTCTTTCTCCTTACCCCTCCTTATAAATAGTGCATTTATTTCCAATGAAACAAATTATTTCAAGCCTTCAGTGTCAGCAGTGGACATAAAATTGTCATTATGCATCTGCCGCTGTTTTTGTTCGCTACATGCTCAGTATATCTGATATCCCAGCTTTAAATAATGTAGGTTTTACTTTGTATTCCTGCACGTAAGTGGAGACTCCAACAGAACAAGATATTGATACCTAATTTTACCATCCACAATATTGAAGCTTTATTAGCATTTGGAAGTACGTGCAGACCACAATCCAGTAAATTGGGATCGTTTCTATAACAGTCATGATCTTGGCCCGGAGCCAGAGAATTGTGGAACTAGTTCCAGGTGCCCAGCAGAGCGTAGGATATTTGTTATTTAAATAGCAGGCCTCTGTGCCAAAAAGCATGCTTGATGGGACACTCAGCCTGCTTCCGTTTACTTAAAAGTAAGGTTATGAGGTTGGAATCCAAAGAATTTCCCAACAACCTTTACATCTATGATGAAAGCACTGAAGCTCGTCTTTCACTATAACACCAATTGCCACATTTCTTCTTGCTCTGGTCCCTGTGTTTCCATGTACTAGGTCACCTTGGAAGTAGCAACTTGTATATTGTCGTGGAAGGGATAAGAGATTGAGCTATAAATCAGGAAATTTGCTATCCGAAATACTAAATTCCACGATTCTCTCCAGTCCCAAACATAGACATGAGTTTCATTGAACATGGCACTGCTTCTTGTGGGTCCTTTTACCTCGTCGAGGTCACACAAAAAATGGCAACAGCAGAATGCCACCTATTTACAAATCTGTGAGCAACAATGTCTAATAAATACAGTGGAATCTGCAGAAAATGCTTCAGCTGTACTTAATAAAAAGGAAAGTCTGTTGAGCAACCCTTGGAAATGCTGATTTGTTTTCAGTAAACATTTGATTTTTATACCTATTGTATATACCTGGGGTCAGATAAAATATTTTCAGTGGGAAAGAGGTTGAAAGTAAAGTTAAAGAAGCCCTGGAATATGGTGTGCATCTAGAAGTGCCTGTTAACTGAGTATACAAAGTGTTCAAAGTGATGTATCTTATAGTGCTGAGGCAATGGGGATGTCCGGAGGGGAGAGGCCGACTACCCACGAAAGATTACTACTACCACATCAGCTCTAGATTATTAAATATGGTTTTCTGTGGGCAAGCAGATTGCAAGTAGCGGATGGCATATGTTCTGTATCAGAAACTAGACTTATGTGGTATATCCAGTGTAATTTTCTGAATCAGCACTCCAAATAACCAAACCAGATCTAAAGTTGACCAAAAACTGATTCATAACCCTTTTGGTACTAACGTTGGAGAGTGGTCCCTGGTCACTGGTGAACCACTAGCTTAGAGGGATAGGTTCAGAGCTGAGGAGTACTCTTGTTCTGGCTGTGTAATTTTCCTAAACATTCCGTTTCCTTTCTTGACAAGTTTGCATCAGAAAATAAAATTTAGCTTGTCAGTAAGCTTCCTTCCTTGGTCAGTACAGTATACTGATTAAGTGACCCAGAGGTGGAGTGAGATCAATGCTAGTTCATTATCCCTATATATCTTTTATTTGCAAACTGGAACTTTTCTAAAAAGAGCATTTTTACATTGCTTCAGGGTTTTTTTCTATTTCAGTATGTTTTCCTAACTGTGTTTTATAGCTTGTTTTCATTATTTAATTGGAAAGCACTTTTGTTTTGAGTGAGGATATCGTAAAATAACATGGGATGAAGTCCCAGTTCCATTGGAAGCAAATGGCAATGCTCCCATTGATTTCAATAGAGCCCAGATTTCATTAATGAAATTAATGAGAAAAAGGCAGTGCAATAGTATTATTGAATTAGATATTAATTTTAAAGGCACTTCATGCCCAAATAATTAAAACTATTGGTTTTATATAGGGCAGTGTGTGTTGATACATCACTTTGAACACTTTGTATAATGTTGATAGGATGTTGTTGAATTTCTGTGCACTTCTGAGCTCAAACACAATCTTGAAGTAAGTCCCACTGAGTGTACAAGGCTTACGCCCAAAGATAAGGGAGTATATGATTATTATGGTTGCAATCTGATAAGGAGGACCAAGGGTGAAAAGCCCTTCACACCAATCAACTCAGCAATTGGGAAAAGGGGGCTCAGTTCCATAGTTCTGTAGTAACTCAGCTGATTGGCAGGTAAACATGGATGAAGCTACAGGAAAAGTTAAACAATGTTTGCAGCTCTTCCTCACCAACCAGCTGAGCTGAATAGAAGTGTAGGAGAAAGGAGAAGATTAATCCTCTCTTTACCTCCCTTGTGATTTAATACCTCCGCAAAAGTCAAAACCACAAATGTGGAGGAGTGGCAGTATAAAGGAGCTTCCTATGTTTTCAAATACTTGCATGAGAGAGCCTGGGCATGTAGTTACTCATGAATAGCATACATTCTGCCATCAAATGGAAACTTTGAATTGTTTGCAAATGTGATGTTCTCTTAATGTCTATTAATAACCTTTTCCACTTATATTTTAGGACCCCAAACGCCATTTAGAAGAACACGTGGATGTCCTGATGACTTCTAACATTGTCCAGTGTTTAGCAGCCATGTTGGATACTGTTGTGTTTAAATAATGACTTACTCATAAGTGCTGTTTTTTGCCTGTAATCATCTGTTGTTTAAAGCTCTGAAAGTAAGATATATTTGGATGTCAGAGACATCTGGCATCATTTACAGTCTAAGAGCATCACTCTTGACACCTTTTTCTCTCTGCTGTGCAATTAGATTGGAGGGTTTTTTATGTCATGGTCTTTATTCCTGAGCAATTCACGGACTGAATTATAAAATGTGTTGTGTTTTCATTTTAATATTTCAAAGATAATTGGTATCTGTTATTGTTACGTATTTCTTTTAACTCTGTTAACCTGTGTAGCGTCTGTTGGTGTTCATGGATTGGGAAAGGACTGTTGACAATGCTGTACAAACCTTAATTGGATATATGTATTAGGGTTAGATAGGTTCATTCAGAAAAGCCTGAAAGTCAGAAGAAAACATACAAATTTGGACTTCCAATGCAGTTTTGAACCATGCAGGAAAGGTGAGGGGAAAATCCGAATTGGAACCACTTACCTTTTTTTTCGGAAATATTATATAATGTTCGGATGTCTCCCAAGGTTATTTTAATTTTCACAACCATTAAGCAACTTTGGTAAAGCCCCAAAACTTCTAAAATCTCATGCTTTCCACCAGCGATGCAAGGAAGGATGATGAGGTGGGCGTAGCTAATCACAGCCATCTTTAACTGTAGTTTGTGAAGGCCAGGCCCCCAATGGTAGAGATTGCAAAAGGCCCTGCTATTAAATTACATTTCCCACACTGCCCAGCTGGTCATTAGCCAAAATGGCTGAATGACCCAAAAATAGCTGTCTGTAGCAGTCTTCATGTAATTATAAAATAAACTGATTGAATCTGCAAAGGTGTCTAAAGAAGGCAGCAAAGCAATAAGCAACTTTTGCAAAGCCAAGAAAACATAAACTGCTTAAAAACCAATCATTTTACTTTTGCGTGATTGCCATGAACAAGGCACTGGGGTAGCCAGCCACAGCCAGCTAGCCCTTTACAGGCAGTAATTAATGATAAAATAAAATGATTGATTGCATCTGCAAAAAGGAATAAACGGATAGATGTGTCTTGAGGGTCCCCTCCAACTTAGTAGAGGAAGCAAATGGATGTCAGGAGAGTTTGGATGGTGCCTTTCTGCCCAGAAGAAGGGGGTCAGTCTAGATGTCCCACCAATTTAACACAGTTTGTGCCACACAAACAAAGTTTCTGGAATAGAAGAACTACTTTCAAAGTAAAGACCACCCAGTGAAACAGGAAATAACACTTTCAAATCAAGAACAGATTTTCTTTATTATTAAAAAATTATAAAAACTTTGAAAATTCGCCAAAAATCCATTGATAGGTCAAAGGTTATGAAATTTGGTGAGCTAACAGTGATCCATGTGTTCAACCATTATCACAAGTTACATCAGTATTGGTCTAAAAATGAGGGAAGGAAAATCCCCTGAAGTTTCCCCAGTGCCGGTACTGTTTTTTTCCTACCGTGCATGCGTGTCCACATTAACGAATTGATTCGGAAGTTTCGGATATTTTGATTTTTTTAAAAAAAAAATCAGAAGTGTCTTTAGAATCGAACCACCAGTGCCCCCTACACCCAAAACGAGTTATTTTAATTGATTGTCATAGAATACATCAATACCTTTAATAATCTTATATTCCATCCTCAATTCATTACATCAACCAAAGTATATATATATCTTATATACTTTTTTTCCCCCACCTCTGTACCCCCCCTTTCCGAGCCACTTCAATTTGCATTCTCTTTCCAAAATACCATTTCTTCTTGTGGAAGTAATTTCCCGTCTACTTCTTTTAAGCCATTCTCAATAAATTTTCCCCAAACTTTATCAAAATCATTTTCCTTCCATACCCCTTTCCTGACTCTTAACCTACATGTCAATATATCATTTATTGCTATTTTCCATAATTCTTTATACCATTCTTCAATTGATATGTTTATTTTACCTTTCCAATTCTTCGCTATCAGTAATCTTGCTACAGTTAACATGTTATCTATTGCATCTTTCTCTGTGTTTTTTTCAATTTCTTAACATTATATAGTGACAACAGTGCAATACTTGAACTTTTCCCTATCTTCATATCCATTATAGCTTCTATCTCGCCAAATACCTTCCCCCAAAATTCATTTACATATTTGCATTGCCACCACATATGTACCCACCTCCTGGCAACCTCTCCAACAATTTTTTGTGGAATTCCTATTAATATTTGCAATCTTTACTGGTGTTAAGTACCATTTCCAAACCAATTTGTAATAATTTTCTTCAACACGTATCGATAAGTTCTTTAAATATCTTTGATCCCATAATTGTACCCAATCCGCTTCTTTTATTCAAATCCTTAGGTCTTCCTCCCATATCTCTCTTAACGTTATGTCCTTTATTTATTTTTTCCCCTTAATATCAATTATTATCTTATACAATAATAAATAAGGAGGATTTGGAATGGTTGGAGGAAGATTCAGAAGAAGTAGAGGACAAAATTTGGAATATATTTTTTAAGGATATAAAAAGGAAAGAAATTAAGAGAATAAAAAAACCCAATGTTGAGAAATGTGATAGGAATTTGGAATAGATACAAAGAAATATTCTTATCAGAAAGTTCAACACTAACACCAATAATAATGGATAAAACTTTCCCCACATTTTTTAAAATATATTAGATAAAAAAATTAAGAGAGAAGAATATAGATAGAATTGGAGATTGGATAAAAGCAAACATGAGGAAGGAAACTATATTGAGAGAATTTAGAGATATTAAACTCTCATGGTTCCATTGTCTACAGTTAGAGCAATGGTTCAAGAATTGGATAAAAAATAATGGGGAAGGAGGCAAATTTACACAAGTTGAACAAATGATAAAAAAAGAAAGAGCGACGGGAGGATACCACAAGCTGAAAGGAATAACTAGCAAATTGTATAAGATAATAATTGATATTAAGGGGGCAAAACGAGTTTTGAACCAATTTTTTTATCAACCAAGCCTAATATGTATACATACATACATATGTTTCAAAAAACTGAAGAAACATAAGGAAGTGATTTTGGCAAAGACTTCCTCTGTTAAAAGTGTTCATCACTCAGTTTCTCCCTCTCTTTCTCATATGTATGTATATGTCTTCACCAGGGCTAAATCAAAGTCCCTTTTTAAATACCAGGGATCAGCCTAGTATATCAGAATCCTCCCAAAAGTGTGTAATCACTTCTTAACATTGAATATGAGGTTTCCTTGTTTTTAGGATGACAGTTTTTGCAGGTCAAAGGAATTGTGGCTTCTGGGCAGGTTTGAGCCTGTCCCTTCCGCCTATAACCACTGGACAGTGTTGCTCGCATAATGACCATTTATACATTTCTGTAAGAAGAAATGGACACAAGATAGAGCTGGAGATTTACTGCATAAAGCAGCTTGGGTAACATCTTCCACCATGTACCGGCTCAAAACCTCGATAGTTGAAAGTGATGGCAGTTTGTCATTAGTTTGATGTGGTCTCAAAACATCAGAGCAATAGTTTTAGGCAAAGGACAGGAGATTGCTATTGCGAGCAAACCAGTGCTCGTTTATGGAATGAATGCTGGAGCGGGGAGTAGATACTGCAAGGAATCATACCGAATTATTAGAACCTCAACATCTGATCTTCTTAAAATGCTTATAAGAGTCTGATACAGTAGATTCTCACTTATCCAACATAAACAGGCCGGCAGAATGTTGGATAAACGAAAACGTTGGATAATAAGGAGGGATTAAGGAAATGCCTTTTTAACGTCAAATTACATTATGATTTTACAAATTAAGCTCCAAAACATGTTTTACAACAAATTGACAGAAAAAGCAGTTATACACGGTAACGTTATGTAGTAATTACTATACTTATGAATTTAGCACCAAAGCATCACAATTGTATTGAAACAGCTGTCAATCCAGGCAGGAGGCAGACTACGTTGGATAATACAGAACGTTGGATGATCAAAGGTTGGATAAGTGAGACTCTACTATAATTTAACCATGAAGCTAGGTCAAGTTCCAGGTTGAGTGCATTTACATTGCAGTGAGGATTTCTATATATTCCACAGCTACATGGAATTCAGTGTCGCTGGAACTTCACTTTTTTTTTGCCTTTCCGTAAGAAAAACCAAAACACCCTTCCTTGTGCTTAGGGCTGAGAAAAGTCTTCAAAGTATTTCGGAAATGCCTGTCACAATCTAAAAATGCACAGAAGAGATTTAAAGTATGGCCCAATAACCCATCGTAAAATACAGAAATCCTTTGTCAACATATTCTGGAAATAAATGTTTCAAATGTATACAGAGAAATCCAGTTTCAAACATACCATGAAGAGATACTCTTCTTATTTACCATAAATCTTCATGTTTTTTAAAGCCCGGATTTATTTTTTAAACAACTTAATATAATAAAGGGGGGCCCCAGTGGCAGCAGGTTAAACTTGCTGACTGAAAGGTTGACGGTTCAAATCCAGGGAGCAGGATGAGCTCCAGCTGTTAGACCCAGCTTCTGCCAGCATAGCAGTTCAAAAAACATGCAAATGTTAGTAGATCAATAGGTATTGCTTCTGCGGGAAGGTAACGGCACTCTGTGCGGTCATGCTGGCCATGTGATTTTGGAGGTGTCTATGGACAACTCCAGCTCTTCGGCTTAAAAATGGAGATGAGCATCACCCCCCAGAGTTGGACTCAACTAGATTTAATGTCAATGGAAACCTTTACCTAATGTAATAAAGCAACTCCATCCTGCCTTCTAATGCTACCATGAACTATTGTTAAAGAACCGTCAAAGCATGTTTGAGCTTCATGTTCATATTATGCTGCAAAGGCAGATACTTCAGCATTTGCCTAGCATATCTGGGTCTATTTAATACTTGGATTAGATGCCATCTGGGGGTCATCTTTTGTTCAGAAAGAAAACAGCCAGGATATAAAAACTTAATTGTTAAATCCAACTAGAGTAGGCTCATTGAATCAAGGGTCTTAACATAAGTTTATTTAACAAATTGTCATTGGACCTATTCCAGTTGGAGTTAACAATTTCATTTAAGATGAAATGAAATTGAAAACATTTCCAGCATTTACATTGAAGTGGCTTTTAACCCAAAGGTGGCAGGCCACATTTTAGCTTCAAGGTTGGTCTGACTTCCTTCTTTGAATCTAGCACATTCGTGCAAAATTCAGTAGCCTGCACATGATCTAGTCCAGGAATGAACAAAGAGTGACTCTTGGCTGCAGCTCCCAT